AAAATTATTAAATTTTTAATGGGAGAGACTAAAATTACATAATTATGATATTCGAGTAACTAAAATTGTTCATTTAAAAATTAAAGGATCAAAATCGCACAATTGCAATCTTTAATAGACTAAAATTACCTAATTAAAATCTTGGGAATCAAAATTGCACAATTACAATACTTGAGGGATTAAAAACGCAATTAACCCTAAATATAATGATAAAAAAAATTTAATTGATATATTATAAAATAAATAATTGTTATCATATTTATTTTATGTAATAAAAATTCGTAATATAATGATATTATTTCTCAATTGAATATATATAACGAAATATAATATGAAAAAAATTACATGATATTAAATGTCAATTTTAATTATAAACTAAATTATATTTTTATCTTTTACTTTATTTTTAATATTTATTTTGATTTTTTATTATTTAAAATATTTATTTTAGTCTTTTATCTTATAAATTTGGGTTGATACAATTCTTTCAAAATAATAATTATTTATAATTTTGAAACATAATTTTGAATATTTTTTTTCATCTAATTCAAGATTTAAAAATTATCTCATTAGACTTACTTAAACGTAAATAAAGTTAAAATAAAATTTTCATAAACATAATGAAGGGTGGTGACATTATCTTTGATGTGTTACTCTTTAATGTATTTCAGAATTTTTTGATATATGGTACAAGAATTATTCCCTGGTCATTACTTGAGTTACGTTTAGGAAGACGAGTTGCAAGGATTGCTTGGTCGACCCAAGCTCGGCATGAACTCAGCTTGGTTTACCCGAATTGGGTGGCACGTTACTCATTTTACTGGGTTAAAAATATATATATATTTATGTCACTTCATAAATATAATAAATAAATTTATAATAATTAATGGACATATATATATATAACATATATATATAACATCTCACCTCATTATATATATATATATAACATCTCACCGCTTATAAAATCACAATATTTTCTTTAAATCTTATCTTAAAAAATAGACATAAATACCTAACTCTAATCAACTCAAGTTTAAGTATATTCGAGTGGTTATTCAAAAAATTTCAATTTTAACCAAATTAACCCAATAAATTTAAAATTAATTTAGACGTGTATTTCTTCTAAACTCTAAACATCTTAATGTGAACTCATGCATGTAATGTCGCCTTGGTTTTTACAGAAGGCATGATTAAGAACTCTTAAATATGGCTCTGAAAAAAGTGTGTACAATCTTTTCTTTTATTTCTTTTAATAAAATGATTTTAGATTTAACTAAATTTTATAAAATCGTGATAATTATTTTTTATTTATATATTTTATTAATTTTAGGTTATATTACTTGTCAATATGAGATCTTTAATACACTATTCACACCGAGAGTTAGATATTTGCGAGTGATTCAATAACAGGTCAATAATGAATAACATGATAGACCTAACAATAATTATTAGGATATGCTATATATTATGTTAAAAATATAGACTATGATCTAATTCAACCTTACAAAATCAGTTTATAAGGTAAATATTTATTGCTACTTAATAATATACTCTATTTTGACCATATCACTAGTTAATAAAAGATCTCTAACACACTAATTACCTCATGCTTAAACTAGATATCTCAAGTGTAAAATTTGTTGGACTAGACATTTGTAGATGGTTTAATAACGAGCTCAATAACGGGTGACACGATAAACCCGACAACAATCAATAGAATAGGCCATGATACCTTCTTAATAATGTGAGTTTGAGTAAATTCAATTATACATAACCGATTTATGAAGTGGTGATTATTTCATACTTATATATGCTATTTTTGAACATATTTAGGTGATATGTAACGACCCGATATGGAATAATACGATAATTTCAACAGCAGTCGCTAAGAAATACTCTAATACCATGTTAATAATGTGATCTTAGGTTTAACTCAACTTTACATAATTGATTTGTAAGGTAAAAATTATTTTTCAGTTATATATTTTACCTTAATCATCTCACTTATTGATGTGAGATTTCCAAAATATATTTCTCATATGGAGAGATAAATATTTTGAGTGAACTTTGCGAGATCATATATTTATAAATGGTTCAATAATGACTTGATAAATGTTAACATGATAGGATCAACAATAGTTACTAAGATATATTATGATATCATCTTAAAAATATAGATCATATATAACATGATCCAACTTTGTATTTTTAAGATAATAATTACTCTCTACTTATGTATTTTTATTTTTATCATAATGACTTTTCATAAAATAAAAATAATAATAATAATTGAAAGCAACTAGTGAATTGGGTTACTTGGGCCATATCAAAAACAACTATTTTGAAAAATAAAATAAGATAAAACAATTTATTAATAATAATTTATATTTATTTTTTCACTTGGTTATTTTTCTTACACGCTACGTGTTCGTACTATTTCCGCTTCAAAAATAACGTCCGAGTTTTTTTCTGAGTCTTTTCTAACAGCTAATTAAGAATATCTTAAATATAAATGATAACAAATGAAAGGGGGAAAATTGATCCGTAAATATTCCAACTTGTCTCCTATTTTTCGGAATCAGTAAGACGTGATACTGTGATAGACGTTGTCCACATTACAAATAGAATTTCAGAAATTGTATTTATATTGTTTTTTTTTTATGAAAATTTGTATTTAAAAAGAAGGAATAAGAAGAGGATGGTAAAAAAAAAAAAAAGGTGTGATAAAAAAAATGATTATAATAATTATTGTATAGGTAATGTATTCCCATGTTAATTTGCTAGCTTCTTGTTACTTTTTGCCATCCATTGACATGATTTGCATTTGAATTTTGAAGACATTAGGGCTACTGGCATTAGTTTTTTTCTTTTTTCGTCAAAGCTTTTAAGTTTAAACATGGTTTGACCAAAAGTTTATCTTTATTAATGTTGAATTTGAGTTCCAAATATAAATATAATCCAAACATATTTATATAATATATAATTTTTTATAGAAAACTTTATATATTTTGATTTTCTTTTCATTTCATGAATGACATATCTTATTACAATTTCTCTCTCTTCTCTTTTTTATTTTTATTTTTAATAATTATTACAGAAATTTAATCCATACTATTAATAAAAACAACGTCTTTTTAATGTACAAATTTTGTTCACTGTTTTACCCTCTAATTCCTAAACACTTTCTCTTATACATTTTTTTTTTGTATATTTAGTTATTCTCTTCTCTTTTGTTTCAATACTTTTTCATAAATTTAATTATTTTTGAAACTTCTCACTCCTTCTAAACAACTAATGAAAGCTGCTCAATCGCCATCTAATTGTTATTTTTATTTTTTAAAATAAAATACACGAAAATATTAACTATTTTTTTACGCCAGTGTATTTAATGTTACTTTCTTTTTAATAACATGAAATAATCAAAGTTATAAATGTAAGAACATACGCACTGATATATATTTTTAAATAATTATCTCATAAAAAATTATTTAGAAATTTTATGATTAATTTAAAATAGAACAAACATATCAAGAATACATGTTTAAATTAACTCATAAAAAATAATTATTTTTAAAACTTCATAACATTTTAAAAAAATTATTTCTCAAACAAATTTAAACACATCTATTCTTCTTATCTTCCAACAATTATATGGTTACATTTCAATTACTCCTCTAACTAGGGATGGCAAAAATACTTGCACCCGCGGGTATCTGCGAGTAAAATCCGCTACAGATAATAAATGGATAGACTAATTGAGTACTTGCATATAATGGGGACGAATAATTTTTTACCCGTTTATAAATGGGGCAGGGGCGGGTATGATGATATTCATACTAATGGGTACTCGTTTAATAATATTTCTTAAATATTCTAATTATTCTTGTACCACAAAACCCTAAAATTATACACTCTCTTCTTAATTATTTTCTTACAAAAGTGAGGTTAATGAAGTTATCAACATGTGTTAAGCATGTTATATAATTATGTTGGTTGTAATTTGATTAATTTTCTAGCTTTGATTGAACCAATAAATTTTGATGTATTTTAAGTTGTTTACTTTCGTTTGAAATTATGAGATTGAATTATTGTAACTTTGTGATGAGACTTTAACTTACTTGTGAGATTGATGTATTTTAAATTATTGATTATCTTGCATTTTTATTATTATTTCAACAAAATTAACGTTAAATACAAGTTCAAAATTAACATTAATTTTTTATTTTTTAATATTTCAATGACATTAAATATAAACTTAAAATTATTTATAATATATTTTTTTTAATTTCTTACAAAATTTATAAATATCTATGAATATCCACGAATATCCGTGGGTATTAAAAAAATTCATGGATACCCGCGTGGATATGGAATGTGTATGGGTCAATTTTCATCTAACGAGACGGGACGAGTTTACTATTACCCGCTCCCATAGGATCCATTGTCATCCGTACCTCCAACTGAATATTAAACATTCACAAAAAAAAAAAAACAGCTCCGAAGTTACCAAAATGCAATGCAAGGTCATCAAATTGCTTCATTCAATTGTAGATTTTGCTCCCATAAAGGGCACTTTCTAGTCTCCATTGTCTCACCATGACACATGGACATGGATTTACACAAACTTGTAAATTAACGAATTCTATAATTTTTGGACCCTGCTGCTGAAGGACACAACAAAATTGTACAGACTACCAAAAGTTTGTTATAATAATATTTTGAGTTAATTACCTAATGTAAATTTTTTTTTACACTAATAATTAATTAATCTTTTAATTGTGTCATATTACTATAAACATATTTATCTTTAACAGTAACATGACACAATTAAAAGATATAATTAGTTGTTAATGTAAAAAAAGTTTTACACTAACAATATATAAGTGATTAACTATAATATTCTATGCCCTTTTCTCATGCAACAAGCCTGACCCAAAATTTGCACCCATGAAATAAGCATAAAGCTCCTCAGCCTGCATAACCTCACCACTTTGCCAGCACTCATGATGATGGTGAGTGCCATCATCAAGCACCCCTGAGCTCCCACCCTCTTCAAAAGAAGTTGAAAACTCACAAGAACCATTGTTATTAGTATTACTATGGTCTGCACCATCAAAAGGGTCTAACTCAGATGATTGAATAAAGTGTGTGAGTTGTTGTAAATCTTCTTGGTAATGAGTTCGATTCTTACAGACCAAACTACAGTCTCCACCTTTGGCATTGCCAATTAGCAGCATCTCTTGAGCTTTCTTCAGCTCTACCTTGAGCCGTTCCACATCTCTCTCTAGTTGCTTCTTCTCAGCCATCACATTCTCTAGCTTGGCCTGAAGCACGCCATGGTCCACCTCAAGGTTCTGAGTCTTCCAACGAGCCCTTTTGTTTTGGTACCAAATGGCAACTTGCCTTGGAGGCACACCAAGTTGGTTTGCAAGGTGGAACTTTTGCTCAGGCTCAAGCTTCATGTTGGAGGCAAAGCACTTCTCAAGAATAGCAACTTGGTCTTCAGTTAGCCTCTTTTTGTTGTGTTTTGCTCTTTGGTGGACATGATCTTGGGTCTTGAAGGAAAATTTCAAGTCCCCCATTTTGGATGAGATCACTTGATTGGAGTTTTGGAACAATGAGATTGGGTTTGGAGTTTGGTGGTGTGTGTGAATAATGTGTGGGAAGTGATGAGTGTGTTTCTCTTGAGAGAAAGTTTTGGTGCTCATTCTTTTATAAGGCTTATTTAGCTTTAGAGACATCATGAGCCCCACCAAATTGAGTGACCAAGAGTTAGAGCTAGTGCTTTAAGTCATTGTAAATAGGATTAAAACCACTTGTTCCGTATCTTGTCCCCTTCTTTTTTCCCCTAATAAAAAATGATGACATGTCATGATTATTAGTTTTTTTTTGTTGGAGTGTTATTTTTTAGTTAGAGAAATTAGAAAAGGAAAACTTTGCATGGATAGTTAACGACTAGAGAGAGAAAAAAGATAAGAGTGAGAAATATAATGATAGGTGATAAAATGATAAAATGAGAAAGATAAAAAAAAATGATAGATGTTAATGAATATTGTGGAGATGTTCACATAATTACTCACTAAAAAATAGAAAATAATTAAGGATAGGTTTGATCACTTGTCTAGTACTCTAAGTAATTCATGCGAGTCTTAAATTGATTATGCAGCAAGATATGTAACATGCATATACATATATGGAAAAATATAAACGTCCATCCTATTTTGGTGTAGAAGAAGAGAGAAATAGAGAGAAAAATAATGAAGATAATAAAAATAATAAATATAGTAACTGTATATATGTAATTTAAACACTACATGAAACTTGAAAAGGCATGCATTTTTGTGTTCATCCATCTGGTCAAGAACCTAGATAATCTTGAGCAGTGTTTGCTTAGACGGGTGTGATAAGAATATTGCAAGAGTCATGTTAAGAAAATAGACATTTATTATTACTGATTTATGTTCATCATTAACTTGTGACATAGAGGTTGTCTGCTTCAAATTAAACAAGACTAATCTTACTTTAATTGGAAAAATCCCAACAATTAATTCTATGTTGTATATGTTACGTCAATGATCAGTGAGCGTGTCGTTTGGAAGGTAACAACATATCCCCCACCCATGCATAAAAAAAATTGCGGTTTGAGGCCTAAGTTCATGCATCCTTGGATCTCAAATTGGTATACTCATCAAGCTCAACTATTTGAAGCAATGATGAAGTTGAAATCCCTTCACTGAATCTGTTTGAAGAATTAGATGGCTCATAGCCTCACTGGCTCTCTTCCTATCCCAAGTGCATGCACTTAGTTCATCCCCTCGAGCAAGTGAACATGCCACGCCAATGCCAGTTGCCATGATAGTGAAAGTGAAAATAATAATAATATTAATAATAATAATACTTTTATTTAATAAGGAGATATAAATTTTTCTCATACAATTGATTCTTATAAAAATAAAATAGTATTTTTGGTTGCGATTTCATATTCAAGTCGAGAATTAAATTCCAATCCTTAATTTATTTTATTTATAGATATGATTCACGTAATATCTTGAAACAAACAAAAAAACAATTGACATACATTTGTAAAACATGATTTCTATTAATCAAATATTATTTTAACATATATAAATTTGAGAATATTATTAGATGAACTACTTATATTTTATAACAAATCTTACAATCATTAATTATCTAATCCTTAATTAAGGACAACAAATAATAAAACTATTTGGTATAAAAATAATAACTTTAAAAAGGCGTAATTATACAGAGTTTAAATGTCTTGTCCGGATTAAGTTTGCATTTGTCGGTGTGCTGAGTTAGCTTATCCTATTACATTTTTGTGTAACAAAACAAATGCTTCTAATAATTTGGAATGGTTGCTGAATATCTTAAAAGAAATCAGTGAAGGTACGAGATTCTGGTGAGCAACATGTGTTGGTCAAAATTAATTAGTATATCAATTTCATTTGGTCAAGTAATCCAATTGTGAGACCTTGAAAGACCTACACGAGGGAAAGATACCTACCTAAATTGTGGGCAACTAGGTAGCTTTCATTTTACGTTTTTTGCTATGTTGTACCTTTTATTTTTATTTTTTTAGGAAGGGTTACGAAATTTAAATTCCTGTTACATATCAATTTTTTTTTTTATTAATAAGATATTAGTATGAGCGATATTAGATTTAATGCTTTTAAAAATATTTTAGATTCAAATTAAATTAAATACAATAACTAAGGTATATACTTTTTATCTCATGTTTCATGAAAGGTTTCATCATTATCATCCTTGTCAACTTGTTCCCTATTGTTCTGACTCAACAATTGTTTCTTATTGCTCTTCTTCGTTTAAATTTTAAATGTGAAGAAGGAAATTATCGAAAATCCGTGTAGTCTAAAGATGGGCATTGGAGAACTAGTAACCTCCTAGTTGTGATACTACGAGTCGTTAGATTGAATACATTTTGTATGTAAGCATTGACAAATTCTAATGTTCAAATGCCTACACCAAAAACATTTCTCATGCAATCTCCTAAATTGTGTCCAAATGAATGTTGATGATCATCACATTTTTCATGAGGTTGTTGTTGTGAATGAATAAGGAGGTGATTCATCGTGTTAATTTTGCATAATGTTGTCAACGAGAGGAATGGGCAAGATAGGTTGTTGGAGTGTAATTTGCCGTTGTGTCTGTGTTGGCATTTGTTGTATTGTGTGGGATGTGTTCCATAAATATTTATTGCGTGCATCCGTTGAGTCTTTCAACTAGGTGGCACAAATAAGTATAATATCGAGTTTTGTGTATACAATATCACATATTATTTAGTGTGCAACAAATGACCCTAAATAGGTTTTCCTCTATGAAGTTTCTCCTTCGACCCCTCCAAATATGAACATATTATTGATGCTCATCTATCAAGTAGGTGTATTTAGTTTCCTTGCATGTCTATCTCACGTTCATTGTGTAGGTTATGGTGGTTATGGTATGTTCTATCACAAACCAAAATGGAGCCTTACCTCGTTTGTTTCTTGACATTCTATAATTGTAAAACAAATTAATATAGTACAAGAACTCCACATTCTTTAATCCTTGAATGCACCTTGAGGGAAAAAGTTAATGTACCCTAAGTATGGCATCTAATTAAAGGAACAGGGGAAAAAGTGAATTATGTGTTGTTAGACAATTTTGCATAACATTGAAAGCTCAAAATATGTATCCATAGATGCTTCATTAATTTTCACGTGACTTAATCTTGAGCCATATCTTGTGATATCACCCAGAGACACTGCAATATGAATCAATTCTTCAAATCCCATCTTGTAAAAAAAAAATATATATATATATATATATTAGGTGTCTGAATACATTTAATAATATTTGACTTAAATTTTAGGTGTAGTTAAGGTTATTGTCTCGAATTATAACTTCATATCATCTTTTATGTTTATGTGAAATTTTGTTAAAATTAAATAATAGTTAGAAATTTTATGTTTATGTAAAATTTTGCTAAAACGACTATGAATAAAAAATGAAGGGAATATAAGAATGAGATATCAAATCATATATCTTGGATTAATATAAAATTTTGTATATAAGATCTAGGAGTAAGAAACTTTTCAATCTAACAATACGTTTTAAAAAATTTACATTTAATTAAAAATTATTGAATGGTATAATAGTTGATAAAAGTTACATTAGTGACATTTTGAACCCTCCTCTCTCTACATATATATATATATAGAGAGAGAGAGAGAGAGAAAGAGAGAGAGAGAGAAATATTTTGTTTCATCAATTCAAATTGACAAATAATATATGATTTTAATTAATGAAATATAGTATCAAATAATTTTTAAATTTTCTTAAAAGTTTATTGACATGATTTATGTATTAAAAAATTTTAATTTAATGGTTGGATCATTGAAACTTTCAATAACGTTATATTAAGACAAAAATACATTTTTCGTCCCTTATATTATTTATTAATGTCAATTTAGTCTCACTTTAATTAATTGAATCAATTTAGTCCCACATGACACGTGTCACATTCGTTAAGTATTTAAACAGAGGAAACAAAAAGTTAAACATTGAGATACATTTTAAAGATATGAGACTAGATTTAATTAATTAGAGTGGGACTAAATTGAATCTAATAAATAATATAAGGGACGAAAAATATATTTTTACCTTATATTAAATGTGAATTTTGTAAATCCAACAGTTAGATTGAAAGTTATTTACTCCTAGATCATATACACAAAATTTTATATTAATCTAAAATGATTTGATACTTCATTCTTATAAAATAAAACTGACATAATATATACATTTTAAAATATAATAAAAATATGAACACTTTAATTATTTTCAAGTTATATATATATATATTTGTTTCACGTGCCCTTATTTTTCAAGAAGTTGTGTTTGATTTGGGCCGATATGGTTTCTTTGTCTAGGCTTGGTTTGGAGAAACTCCTTCTCTTATGTTGTTTTTGTTATGGTTTTGGTAAAGCTTTATGAAAGGTAATATAGCCCAATAAGCTACGTCCAATGAGTCAACCAATATGTTAGTGTCTACAATCCAAAACCAGTACTACAGAATATGCAAGGACATTACTATTCACACCCCCATCCACAAAATTTATTATTTCAATTTAAAAAAAATAAAATTGAAACCTCTTAAATTACCCGTCACTTGGGTTTGTCAAATGGGAAATTATTTTCTTCAAATAACAACTATTTAAAAAAGATGGTGTAAATAATAATAATCTCCAATGTGCTATTGTAAAGGGTCTTCACTTCACCACACTGCTCCTGCATTTTTATTTTCATTTTTCTGAAAAGTCATCTTCTCTTAACATCAATAGTTCACCACCACCGCTGACCTTAAGCATGGGCTGTGGGTCAACCAACCCTCCAAGATTCCATTGTGGAAACGATAAAAAAAATATATATATATTTAGTGTGTATAATAAAAAAAATATGATTAAATTATTAATAATTTATTAGAAAAAAAAATAATAATAAAGGTTTTCACTAGTCAAAAGAATCTACCAAATATAAAAAAAAATTAAAAATAAAATAGTAATATTAAATATAAAAAAATGTTATATGTTATTGATCTATTTCTCTTTTTTTTTTTTTATGTGTAAATTTTCACAAATATTAATAT